CTTTACATCATTACAACCTGAAAATATTTCCAAAGTATAGGAACAGGTTGGCTCCACACTACTAAAAGACAGCTTTTACTAAAGTGGCACTGGCATTAATACTTAAGAGCTCCTGTGGGCCTGTATCCTTGTGTCCATGTACAGGATCTTAGTTTTTTAACAAAGAATTTATAGCAGTGTAAGCTAGATCTGAGAGGACTGTAGCACCCCCTGAATATGTAGCACTTGTGGGACAGACTCCTCTGAGCTGAAACAGGTCAGTGGCTGACTGATTAGAATGTAACACTCAAAATTGAGGTGCTGGGAGTGAGACGGAAGCTGTTGCCAGGCACCATAGATATTGTTCCCGACAGAGAAAAATAACTCCTCCTGAACCTCATTATCTTTCCAGTTCTTACAGAGGATTGAGCTTCATTATAATCTTGAGACCACTCTTGTATATGCAGTCCATCATTGATTGCAAGTCATTATGTGGTACATGACTGTATTTGTCCTTTTGTGACTTATTTTGTGACTTGGCATAATGGTTTCAAAGATCATCCATGTTGAAACATGTATCAGAATTTCCTTCTGTTTTAAGACTGAATAATATTCCATTGTATGTTCATGCCATAGTTTGATTCATCCACTGATGGACATTTGGGTTGTGTCCACCTTCTGGCTAACGTGAATAATGCTGCTATGAACTTAAGTGTACAAATATCTGTTTGAGTCCCTGCTTTCAATTCTTTAGGGTATATACCTAGAAGTGGAGTTACTGGATCATATGACAATTCTATGCATTATTTTTTAAGGAATTGCCCTAATGTTTTCCACAGCAGTTGGGCCATTTTACAATCCCACCAGCAATGCACAGGGTTCTAATTTCTCCATATTCTCACCAGCACTTGTCATTTTCTGTTTTTTATCATCATTATCCTAATGGGTATGGTGTTTCATTGTGGTTTTGATTTACATTTCTCTAATAATTAATGGTATTGAACATCTTTTATGTGCATAATGGCCATTGGTATATCTTCTTTGGAGAGATGTCTATTCAAGTTCTTTGCCCACTTTTTATGTTTTATTTAAAATTTTAAATTAAGACTTAATTTTTAGGGCACCTGTAGGTTCACAGGAAAATTGAGGGGAGGGTACAGAGATTTCCCATGTACTTTCTGCCTCCACACATGCACAGCCTCCCCCATTATCACCATCTACCACCAAAATGATACCTTAAAGCAAATTCCTCATTTAAAGCTAAAATAAAACAGCAACACATTTTTTTATTAAGACTATTTTTAAAGCAGTTTCAGGTTCACAGCAAAATTGAGGAAGAAGGTACAGAGATTTTCAATATGCTTTGTGCCCCCACACATACATAACCTCTCCCTTTACAAATATCTCCCACATGAAGGACACTTTTGTTACAATTGATGAACCTACATGGGCACATCACAATCATCCCAAGTCCATAGTGTACATTAGGGTTCACACTTGGTGTACATTCGGGTTTGGACAAAAATGAATGATGCATCCATCATTATGATATCATACAGAGTATTTTCACTGTCCTAAAAATCTTCTGTGCTTCACCTATTCATCCCTCACCCTCCCAACCCCTGGCAACCTCTGACCTTTTCATTGTCTCCATAGTTTTGCCTTTTCCAGAATGGTATCTAGTTGGGATCATACAATATGCACTCTTCTCAGATTGGCTTCTTTTCACTTAGTAATATACATATAAAGCTCCTCCCTGTCTTTTCATGACTTGATAGTTCACTTCCTTTTAGCACTGAATAATAATCTATTATCTGGAGGTACCACAGTTTGTTTATCCATTCACCTACTGAAGCACATCTTAGTTGCTTCTAGGTTTTATTTTGTTTTGTTTTGTTTTTAAGATTTTATTGGGGAATTGGGGGAGGGGAACAGACAAGTTGCTGTCCTTTTGTTCTTCAGTCTAGTTGTGGAGGATGTGGCTTCAGTGGCCCATGTTGACATTATCATTGCGCTCTTCCTAGCTGAGGCAGTCAGTCGCCAGCCCTTGGACGGTCGCTCACAGCAACTCATGGAAGCCCAGCTCCAGGTCGAGCTGTTGTTCACCATCTTAGCTGTAGAGGGCAGTGTCACTGGCCCTCATGTGGGACCCCAACCGGGGCCCTGCTGCTCAGAGCAGGTGTCCCAAGCCAACTCCTAACCAATGCACCACTCGGCCGGCCCGCTACTAGGTTTTAGCAATGATAAATAAAGCTGCTATAAACATCAGTGTGAAGGTTTTTGTGCGCACATTAAGTTTTTAACTCCTTTGGGTAAATACCAAGGAGTGTGATTGCTGGATCAAATGGTAAGAGTATATTAGGTTTTATAAGAAACTAACAAAGTATCTTCCAAAAGCTGTACGATTTTGCATTCCCACCAGCAATGAATGAGAGCTCCTATTGTTTTCAAATTCTTTCCAGCATTCGGTATTGTCGGTGTTCCAGATTTTGGCCATTCTGATAGGTGTGCAGTCATCTCTTGTTTTAATTTGCATTTCCCTGATGACATAGATGCAGAGCATCTGTAGATCCTTACTTTTGTCTTTTTGTTGTTACATTTTAGGAGTTCTTTATATACTCTGATATTAATTTTTTTAATCAAATATATAATTTGAAAATATTTTCTTCCATGCCATTGTTTGCTTTTTCATTGTATTGACAGTGTCCTTTGATACATAAAAGTTTAAATTTTGGTGAAATCTAATTTATCTATTTTTTTCTTTTGTTATCTGTATTTTTGGTGTCATATCCAAGAAATCATTGCCAATCCAATGTCATGGCGATTTTGCCCTGTTTTCTTCTATGTGTTTTATAGTTTTAGTTGTCACTTCTAGGTCTTTGATCTTTTTACAATTAGTATTTTTTTATGAGCTAGGAGTTCAAATTCATTCTTTTACACGTGGATATTCAGTTTTCTCAACACCATTTGTCAGAAAGATGTTTTGGCTATTTTGTACCTCTTAAGATTTCATGTGAATTTTAGGATGGGGTTTTCTATTTTTATAAAAACTATCATTGGGATTTTGATAGGGACTATGTTGAATTTGTAGATTACTTTGGGAATATTAACATCTTAACAATAGTAAATCTTCTAATCTGCAAAGGTGTGATGTTTTTCTACTTATGTCTTCTTTAATTTCAGCAATGTTTTGTAGTTTTCAGTGTACAAGGTAAATCCTTAGTTACATTCATTCCTAAGTATTTTATTCTTTTTGATGCGATCATAAATAGAATTGTTTTCATGATTTCTTTTCCGTTTATTCACTATAGTATATAGAAATGTCATCATACACAGGATAAAATGTACTTGCTAGGAATCTATTATTAACACAAAAGGACTATCCATTAAAATTACATGTAATTTATGTCCCATATATCCTAATGAATTATACAATATATAAACACCTAAATATGCAAACCAAGAAAAATCGCAGTGGTTTTAAATTGAGGGAGCAGGTGGGAAGAAGCTGTTTCTGTAAGTCAGAAGTATTTTACTCTTTTGATACAGAGACAAAAGCGCAGGCTTCTGGTTAATAAGGAAACTTTAGACAGAGGAGCAGCCTTTTAAGGAGTAAATGGACGTCTAACAGCTTTTGCAATCAGGTAGGAGAAACTGCAGGGACAGCTGGTCTTTCTCAAGATAGATGGAACTACCAGCGTGACTGATGGTTTATTTAAAAATAGTGGGGCAGGATATTTAACTTGAATTACACTTGAGCTAAAGTTGTTGGCCTATTTCTTAAATGAAAAACAGTGCAGCAGTAAGATTTCCAGGATTCAGGTGTGAAAAAGTAATCCCAAACAAGTCCTAACCTTCCTCCAGCGTCATACCCAAGTCTTGAACGTTGAAAACATGGCATTCTCCTAGAGTTAATTTGGATTTCTCTCCAATCTTGAAACGCACGCCAAATTCAGCTCTCACCAAAAACAAATATTAGAATCCAACCCCTGTGGGACGCCCCTTCCCATTCATGCTCAGCCTCAGGCCCAGCCAGAGACCCCACTGGGTGCTCCAGACACCCTGTGGCCGTGTCTCCCACCTGCATGGTGTACAGTCTCCACCCTCACGAGCTGTCCTCTTAAGGCATCTGGCGATGGACTCCTGACTCAGATGTCTCCTCAAGGCAGGAGAGGGTCGGGTCCCGCTGCAGACCTAGAGGTTTCCACTGCCCACAGGAAGGGGGAGGGGAGAACAAAGGCATCTACCTGGCGCAGCTCTATTGCCAGGCAACGCGAAGGCGTGGCCTACCTGGTAGTTGTGAGTGCTCACGTACCAGGCAAACTTGTCATGTTTGCCACTTGGTACTGATGCTGGCATTCTTCCCACCCTTCCCTCCACCGCCACGGAATCGACGCGTTGTTTCTGAGCTCTCTGACACTCTTCAACCCAAGTCCTGTCTTCATGGAGAAATAATAAAATTTTGGGGAGAGAACTTTTCATAGGAGGACTTATGAACCTGGAGCCCACAGCCTATATTTGATGGATTTTAGGGAATAGCTAGCCCCCAACCCCCAATTATACACATAATGTATGTGTATTTTGGGGGGGGGGAGTGGGACGCAGAAAGAGCCAGAGCTTTCATGAGATTTTCAAATGGCTCTTCACCATCTTAAAAATGCACTGCCTTAGGAGATACGAGCTCTGGCTTTAGGTAGGAAGCCTAGATAGTTGGGTTCCTCGATGTTTAGGTTAAGGAAATGATGTTTACTAGGAGCTGCCAGGAACGTGGGGAAAACATTTGGCGTTATCACCAAATAAGGTTATACACTCGGTCACAAATATATACTGATAGGATATGAAAAAAAAATATTTTTAAGGACATAATTTTAAACTTGGGTTCAGCATCAGACCACTTCATCTACAGTGCCCTGTTAACACTTAATACAAATCCTATATTCCTAGTTAACCTATTTTGTTGTGATTTTGTATAAGATATTAATTTGTTAAATATAAAATATTTTAAAACATCCCACAATTTTGGTAACCATGTTTTGGTATTTCTTCTTCTTTATTTTAATACCGGAGAGCTCTAAAAAATGTCAGTGGCCTAAGTTTCTGGCTTTCTGAGAACGCCTGGGAACTGCTGCTTAAATTAATATTCGATTTTCTTTTCTTATTTTGACAACCCAAAATTCATGCTAGTTGAATTACTGTGTATAGTACTAGCTAATGTTGCCCCATGCATCTGTGGCTTCAGAGCAAGAGGCCCTCTCAGCTTTCAAGTTCCTATCTTGACAAGGCAATTCATTTTTTAAAAAAGAATGCACTTTTTGTCTCATTCTGCTCCCTTCTTTCCATATGTTCTTCACACAGGTTTAGGAGAAGTGAGATTTAAGGACTTTATTAGTGTAAGTAGTGATTTAGGCTATAATCAGTGGTCAACATTAACAAGATAAAGGTTTTCAGACAAGACACTCTGAAGAATGTAAGACTGAATCCTATCCACTCAGAGAGCCAGCAACCTGCTTGGTGGAGTAGGTGGTTATGCAAGAGGGGGTTGTCAGAAAGGAAAAACCTAGGGGAACGTGAAAGGAGATAATCTCAACACCCATCTGAGGTTAATTCTGCATCCAGCAAACAGTGATCTGATGCAAAAAGTTCTCCCAGTGTATTCAGGATCCTCTACTAGTAAGATAGTTTTCTTTCTGGTAATGGACAAGACTGGTTGACTTTCAGATGTTACAAGGTAAAATAACTTATTTTAAGATAAAGTAAATACTACTAGTTGGTAGAAAAAATTAATCTCTTGATATGTTTGTAGCAATCAGACATCAATTTTACAGAATGTAAATAGGAATTTGCTTATTGGACTATTGGATGGATCATGGCCAAATCCTCCAATAAGTTTAGTTGGTATTCACGTACTAAGATTTTTTAGCTCTTGGGCATTCTGGTGATTTTGTCATTGATAAAAATCCAAATAGGATAAACTAAAATAGCTCATTAAAACTCAGGTCTCTACTGAGTGCCTTTAATAAAAATAACAAAAGAACATGTACATCAGCACTCTCAAAGCTGCAGGAATTTAAGAAACATCATTATTCATAGCCTTATTACACACTACTTATCATTACAACCCTAAGAAAAAATATTTTAAGATGCTTTTTAAATTTTCAACAAATTAAACATTTACAATCTCAACCAACTTTTACTGAAAATGTTTATAACACAGGGATTCTCAAACATATTAAATTTAGCAAGGATTGTTTTTGAGAAGAAAACAAAATGTCAGTATATTTTGTATTCCATGGCATTGCTTCTGTGGAAAATAGTTGGTAATCTGTAAAAAGAGAAAAACTTAATTTAGCTTCAAGTATAAAGGAGTATGTGAATATGCATATAATGTTTGTATATAGATGTTTCTATAAATATTTTGTCATGTTGATAAAACTAACATCTCAGGTATTTCTCAGTTTTCTTCAGCCTGTATACTTTTGGCTATCATTTAATCTCTCTTTGATAGAACATTTCCTCTGTATGTCTGTATTTTCCAAAACTTTACAGTATTTAACTATATAAAAGTGGTTTCCTAAACCTCACTGATGCCAACAAAATTTATGAATAAAATATTTCAAAAGTTGCAGTTACTCTTCATATATTTATTTTGCTACATATTTACAATTAAATCATCCTATTATATGTCTAAGTATTTTTAAAGTAAATTTAAGTCAACAGGACAAAGTAAGACCTCAGATACTCAAATGAGAAAAACAAAGAAAAAAATGATTATTGAACTGTTTCTCTATTGACAAAATAAAATGAAATTCTGAGTAAATTAGTCAACTGTATGTAGACTCTGACCTTAGAAATTATCTAAATAAAGCTATTTTTCTGTTTCAGAGGGAATTTACTAAATTGATCAAATCATAGATTAAATTCCATTTCACATTTGTGAGTACTCTAACATTTAGTTTGGTGTTATAATCACGGGCATTTTTTTCCCATTTAGTATTAAACTATTTTTTTGCTCACATTTTGTAAATGCCTCTACATTCGTAATATTATTATGAAAGATAGTTTCTCTTCCATTAACTCCTTATTCTTAGTTCCTTGAAAGGAGAAAAAGTTAAGAATATGTTTGCTACTATTCCTGATATGAACATAACAGGCCTTTGCTGAAACAGGAGTTAATTCTAAAATTAGTTTGAAAATTTAAGTTCTTAATTATGCCCCATGAGCACATTAAATTTTTCTTCACTTTTCCAATATTTGTATCTTTTATTTTTTTCTTGCCTAACTGAATTGGCTAATGCATAAGAACTACACTAAATAAAAGGTAACAAAGCATCCTTGTTTTGTTCCCAACATTAATGGAAATGCTCCAATGTTTTACTATCAAGCCTGCTACTGACTTTGAGACCATTATATAAATAATGCTCAAACAAAATTCATCTCTTTCTTTTTTTAAAACGTCAGCAATTGATGTGGGATTTTACCAAATGTATCTATTGAGATGATCATATAATTTTTCTTGTAATGGTGAAAATATTTTAATAGACTCCCTAATAATGAACCATCCTGAGTTGCTAGAACAAACTTTACTTCATGGGGTCATGAATAGTTCTTTAAATAATACTGTTAAATACTGTTAACTAATTTTTCTTTTAAATTTTTACATTAAAATTATAAATATTTTTTACTTTGTTTCCTTTTTTATTCTGCTTTTGTATGATTTTTGGTAATAAATTCATAAAATATATGGCTGACTTCATAAAAATTTTTGAGATTTTTCTTCCTTCTCTGAGCTGGAAAAATCCAAAAATCTATTGGCCTAGAACTTTTTTGAGGGGAAAGTCTTTGAATAAAGTTTTCAATTTTTTTCCATGACCATTAGTCTGTATATATTTTTTTCTTTCTTCTGAGGTAAATTTTGGTAGCACCTACTTTACTAGACAACCTTCCATTTTATGCAAGTTTTCAAACTATAGGCACAGAAATTTGCAAATTACTCTTATAATTTCATTTCTTCCATATGTTTTAATTTCGTTCTTTTCATTTGTATTTTTGTATATTTATGGTTTCTCCCCATTTTCTTGATTAGGCTAATTAGAGTAGTATATTTTATTTTTTACAGAGAAAGGTTTTTGCTTTATTTACCAACTCTTCTACTTTACTATTTTATAATTTATTAATTTCATGTTTCATTTTATACTTTTCTTCCTTTTGTATTCCTGAGGTTCACCTTGTTCTTTTTTTTTTTTTTTT